CTAAAACCCTAAAACCCTAAACCCTAAATCCCTAAAGCCCAAAAACCCTAAAACCCTAAAACCCTAAACCGTAAAACCCTAAAGCCCGAAACCCCTTATCCTGAAGACTCGAGGCCCCGCGGAGGCAGCCACCCCAGCGAGCTATGCGCAGCTGTTGCGCCAGGCCAAGATGTGGAGGAGTCCTGAGAAGCGGATCCTGCTTTGGGGGGGTGAAGGGTTGAGGGTTTAGGGTTTGGGGTTGAGGGTTTAGGGTTCAGGGTTTAGGGTTCAGGGTTTAGGGTTTAGGGTTGAGGGTTTAGTGTTGAGGTTTAGGGCTGAGGGTTGAGGGTTTAGGGTTGAGGGTTTAGGGTTTGGGGTTTAGGTCTTTGGAACAGGATAGCCTTGCAGCGCTACTTGGTGGGGTTTGCCAAAATTTGATACTTGTTCCCGGTGCAGTCGGGGATCTTCTTTTGAAAGGACTTCTTCATGAAGGGAGAGAGCCGGCTTTCAGGATTCAGAGAACCCAATACCCCTTAATCAAGGAATATGCCTTAGATTATGGGGGGCCTGAACATATTATGATTTAAGGTTCATGTCTTATTTAAGGGGTATTGGGGTCTCTGGGAATAACTCCCTCTTCTCAGAATGCAGAATGCAGACCAATGAAATCCGAAATCCGGCCCTTGCTATGCGCGATCCTCCGGGCCTAAGACTAGGAGCTCATGGATCAAAATGCAAAGGAACCGGGGACTGTGAATGTCTTGGGGGAGGTTGTTGGAGTGCTATCTTACATGGTTTTCATGAGTAACTAAGGGAAATGTACTTTTTGGAAAGGGTGTACATAAGCGTGCTTCATGTGTTGTATAACGGAGCCAATCGAGACAAACTACGGCACCGTCTAGGGTTCATCGCATCATCAACACCGACTACAGTCCGAAAACCCTGAACCATGCACCTTGAACTCTACCTGTACCGCGCTGCGTGGGGCAACTCAACAATGCTCGCCAAAATTCTGCCGCCTGAACCCTCAAGCCTAAACCCCCGGACCCAAAAGCCCAACCACTCCAAAGCACTAAACTACCAATGCCAGAACATAAGTAACCCAAGCACCAAAAGGAAAGGCAGGAGTAGCGGAACAAGTGAATACGCAACGACAGTAAGCAAGACAAGCACCTGTATAACTTACAACTTGCAGCATCCTAGGGGCCCCAGCTTACAAAAGTTTTTTTACCTCGATCTAAGCCGATGGAAGCACAATATGTTTGAAGGTGGACCAACTCCAAGGCACTTTGATTGCTGCGCTGCTTCCCAGGGTCTTCCGTTTATTGGGAGGGTTTCGGGTTTAAGATTTCGGGACCCTAAAAACCCTAAACCCTAAAAACTAAACCCCGAAAAGGGTTGTGTTGTTTCTGCATGAGGAAGGAGGGGCGCGATAAAGGGAATCGAAAGGGCCTCTTGGACCAGACAAGGAGGAAGGACGGACGGACGAAGCCTTAATATAGGGGCCTTTATAATTAGAATAGGGTTTTGGGGCCCATTATACTATAATCATATTAAGGAACCCCCAAAATAGTATTAGTAATGATTTAGGCCCCTGCATAAAGCCCTTTGGGGTTTGGGGTTCAGGGGTTTCGGGTTTAGGGTTTGTTTTTTAAAGCACCGTTCGACCAGGGAACCAGGAAGCTCAAAACCCTTGAAGGCCCCTTCTTACCAACCGGACGTCCTAAACTCTAAACCCTAAACCCTAAGCCCCGAAACCTAAACCCTAAA